CTGTACCGGTGCCTTTGTTTAAACCTTTGAAAACTTTCAGGTGACCGGAAAAGTTAGAACCCATCTGTTTTTTGCCCTACTCTTGGTGTATGGTGAATCTATTTACTATCTGGACAGGACTTAACTGCTCACTTTTGAAACTTGAGTGTCTAGAGAATGAATTATAAGCTTCTTTTTTTTTTTGCTCAAACAAGTTGTCCGTTCCCTGTTCTAACATTTCAGATACTCGTTCCATAAAAAGTCTCTAGAATTTTAGATGCTATCCTTTGCGGTTTAAGACTTGAGAATGTATCTTAGAAAATATCTCAACTAGTTGTGTCTATGAATATTAAGTTCCGGAATATCAGAAGAAAATAACTAAAATATGCACTTTGTGGTAGATGGGTATTAGAACTTCTACAACACTATCAAAGTATCGTACTAAACACTAGTTACGTGGATGGAAGTAATATCAAAGTTTTGCATTTTCACTAATTTAAAAAGACTACAAAAATCATTGTACCACCATATATGTACTCCATATACTGCAAATAAATAAAACAAAAATTGCAGGATAAATAAACTGTACTCAATTACTGTATATGTACCACCTCCTAACTAAAGAAAGATGAAGCCTCCAAAATCATTGTCAATATGCTTTATATTTGTAACACATATTTAGCCAACTGCCTTTGAACTTTGATAAATTTATAAAAACCCCTTAACAAGTAAGAAAAACAAAAACTGAGACTTTTCCTTCTACTCAAGGGGTTTTTCCTTTTGTTGCTTCTTCTATATGATGCCTGAAACTTTCAAAGAAGAAAGAACAACGAAGACGACCCAAAGCATCATGAAATAGGCAGAAGTAAGCCAAGCCCATAGCCTTGGACCTCCAAGCTCAGCTCCTATGATCAACCTTCTCAACACAAGCACCACAATACATCCCACTGATGTCGCAAAGAATATCAGCAGCGAAAAGCTTAATCCTTTTGCGTTTTCTATGTATAGAGGCTCTCTGTATGCAAAGTAGTTGTAGACTGTGTTTATCAGCCACGGGACTCCAATCCCCACATAGATGTTCACCGAGTTACTGCAGAATTATCACGAAAAAGATCATGAAAAGATCTTTAATTGTTTGAAAAGAGTTTTGAGATCTTTACCTGCAGGTGATGTTTGCAATGGCTGAATCTGCGGTTAGTTGTCGCTCTGCAGCGATTTTACTTGCTACTAAGTCTGGCCATGAAGTTCCACCTGCGAGTGCTGTGAATGCTATCACATATGGGTTTATTCCTGCAAGATGAAAAGAGTTTCAAATGTTTTAGAGCTAAAATGTTGAATCTTTAAACTTAAGTTTTTGAAAGCAGTGAGTGTGTGTACCAGTGACACAGCTTATAAGGTCGGTAAGTCTTGTGACAACAAAGGCAACTCCACTGATGAAGAGGAGAGAGCAGATGAAAGCGATCCAACCGTGAGCAATGTTGCAAGGAGGCACAAATGCAAAAAGAAGCTTCCAAGGGGCGAGGAGTAATTGCCAGAAAGATTTCGCGATTCGCAGATAAATGCTATCCACTTTCTTTGATTCTGATGTTTCCAACTGTTTGATTAATAATGGGAAGAGAAACAAGTTAAGAAAGATGTGTCCAAAATAGGATATAGAAGCATATAATGATCAAAAGCCCAAAATAGGATATAGAAGCATCTAAAAACACTTGGTAAGTTGAAGATTTTTACCGTTATTGCATCCACGAATTGATGTTTCCAAATGCCGAAAACAGTAGAATTCTTCGCCTTACCCTTCTTAGTCGCTGAATCGGGTGGAGTATCTGCCACTGTATGATAGGTGATCCCTGCAAAAGTGTTTGTTACAGGGAAAGTGTTGATTTATAACAATACCAGAGATAAATATGCGAATCACACGGATTTGGAAATTAGCAAATTACGCTAAAACTGATCTAATATCAATAGAAAGACAACCTACTCATACTTAGTACCTGTATTATTGTTAGCTGAATGAATAGAGAAGATATCAACAATGTTTCTGCTTCCTGATTCAACAGCTTCTTGAGCGGCATCCGAATACACATCATGAACATCATTGTCATTCTCATCTTTGGATGTATCAATCTCCTCTGGAACCCACTCCTCTGGCCTATCACCTCTTGACCTGCAAGCATCAAATACAAATACAAAGATTCAATCTTTAGTAGAAATCTATTTTGCAGAAACTAATATCATTGTCTGGAGAAGAAACCCACATTGGTAAAGACAAGTAAGGCCATCGCTTGTCTTGGGCGTACGCGTGAACTAGAAGTAATCCGTATTGCAATACTGTCAATAATGCCTCCACAAGTGTAATTACGTTTGGTGACCACACCTGTGAGACGTGAAAAGAAACAGATTTTTAGACTTTATCACTATAGATAGACTCAACAGAATCTGTTTAAACCGCTTTTTCACAGTTACCTCGAGGATTATGTATAGCCAGATGTAAGCCCAAAAAGACCACACCAGCTCAACTAGCCAAACGCCTAAGTCGGATATCTTTTTCAGTTCTCCAGCTTTTGGTACAACGACACAAACAGCGTGGATGGGGAAAAGATCAAATGCAGCTGAGCCAACAAGTGTTCCTGGACCAAGACCTATATGACAAAACATGATATCAGAATTCATGAACTTTAAAGTCAAAACTCGACTTTATGGAAAGAAGAACATGGAACAAGAACCAGACCTCCAGCATATCGCTCCCCGATATTCCGTATTGCATCGATGGTAGCCAACGAAATCTGAGGGAAGCTAGTTCCAAACGCCAACAAACTGATGTCTGCAATAGTAAAGTTCCAAACTTTCTTGTATGTGATGACTTCAGCTTTAGTAATGGGATCAACTGCAACCACTTTACGCGAATGTTTCACGACATTCTCCATAGACTTGAAGAACCGTGCAGTGATCGCTGACAACCCGATAAAGCAGTAGGCAAGACCGAGAAAATATAACACACCCCTCAAACCATCTGACAAAGTATTTTCTCCGGGGAATATAAAGAAGTTTTCACATCTTACATGCCCAAGAACCTTAGAAGCTTCTTGCAATTCCTGGGTTTGATTAAGAATTGAGGCCATTGTAGCTTATTCAAACCCCACCTCCTAAAAAGTCAACTGAAAACTTGTCCTTACTGCGGAAAAGAATCTGGCACACCAAAAAGAAGCTTACAACGTTTAGAAACTGATGAAATCTATGGCCTGATCGATGGGACAGTAACAAGAGGATGCGAAACAAACGGAACATGCAAAATAGATTTCTTTCCAGAGAATCCGTAACACAAACTAGGATCCAATGGCATGTATCCGAAATCTAATCTATAACCAAACTCTTAACAAATTGCATGTTCCATAGTATGCGTAATCAAAATCCAAAGGTAACCAGATCAAAGGAACAACAAAAGATTGTAAATTTCATCATGGATCAGATAAAACAAGTTGGGTTCTTTTCACAACATTCGAGAGCCAAAAACCCTAAATTTCTCGAACAAATCTCAACAGAAAAAAAAAAGTAGCTAAAAATAAGAAAAGAAGAGAGCATGAAGAGGAATCTGATGAAACAGAGTAACCCACGGGACGAAATAAATCAATGCGGACGTACCGGAGAAATATCTCGGTGAACGGCATTCACAATCCGCCGATCACGGGATAGATTTTCCGATAAACGGAAATCGAGAGGTGCTGATTGGAATCGATCAAGCTCAAGCGTTGGATTTTGCGGTGGAGACTTGTGAGCCATTTATACACATCTCTAATCTCTGCATGACACACTTCAATTATTGTATCGAACAAGGATTCAATCGTACATTGACGGACACGTGTTGTCATCTAATTGGATGATTTTGTTGACTAACTAGGATTTATTAATGTCGCCTTTATTTGATAAGGTTTAAGAATATGAGACCCGATTTGCAAGATATTTTTTAATTTCTTTTTAGTCCCTGAATTTGGTTTCATATTAAACCTGGTAATTTTGGGTTTTATGACCTCCTCCTCAAGTTTTACCAGGTTTAGGATGATTTTGGGTTTTTGGGTTTTATTTATTTTCTTTGAAAAAGATAAACATGAAATATATGAAGTGTGAAGGCATTATCAAATCAGAATTATTGAGATTTTTTTTTATTTAAAGAGTTATTGAGATATATATTTGAACTATATATACTTTTTAGTTGATGTTGGGCATGTATGATATTGACATAAATCTACCTATTATTGATCACGTGTAATTCGTGTAAAGTGTAAACTAGAAAGTTCAAATACGTATTTGTTCTTGTTCTGTTATATATATATAGGATTGTCATCCAACAAACGTCATAATGGTAAATCTACCATTTACCACAACAACAATGTATAAACAAGCAATGTAATTGGATTAAATCGCTAAACTCTCCTTTTTTTTTTCCGCTAAACTCTTTATGGTCAAGAATAAATTTGGTAAGAAGAAATCTCATACGTCACATATGACATATTAGTAGGAAGTCAAGACTATTAGTTTATTTTTATTCCACCAACTCTTTTTACATTAACTTGACGAAAACAATTGCATCCAAAGGCACAATTGGATAAAAACGAGGTAGAAAGATCACAAAAAGAACACAGATTCGTAAACGTAACCGCTGTCAAGTCAAGAATACAGATCCTCGAAACAACAACTAATGAATTTTGGAAACGAGCTCACCGTATGATTTAGAGTAGCTCAGAGGTGTCGCGCGGTGGCTAGTATTCTAACCATATCATATATAATTATATATACATCAAATAGCAGTTTCATTAACGTTTGGTTCTTTCTTTCGTTTGTAGCTAAAAAGGTTGGTAGTAATAAATAATTCAGTGGAAAATCTTAACCGGTTCAACCAAATGAAAGATAAGTAAGGGTATATTTGTAATTAAGTTGGAGGCAAATTTTTATTTTTGATTTATATTAAAATTAAAAATAAAGAGAAAATAGAGAAGCCCTATCTATCATATCCCTTTGGTACTGGTATATATATATAAAAGGCAAAACCCTAGCAAGGCGATACTCTTCGACTCAGCCGTCCTTTCGCATAAACCATTTGGAGTTGGAACTTAGGAGGAGGAGGACGACGACGACAATGGTATCTCTCTCTCTCTCTCTCTTCCTTGGATCTGTTTCGTTTCGTTTCATTTGGGATCTTTTAGTGTCATCGTAGAATCTTCGAATTAGACTAGTTTTTTTGTCTGGCACGATTCTCGCTTTAACGGTGAACACACTTGGGTTTTGTTAGATTTGGTACTCGATAGCTAATGAATATGCATCTAGAAAATTTGCGTAGAGAGCAATGTCACCCATGTTCTTTGTTTATCTAATTACGCCACGATTTGCTTTTAGGCCCCGAAGAAAGGAGTTAAGGTAGCTGCGAAGAAGAAGACGGTATGTATATGAACCCTTTATTTTGATTTCCACACTCGTATCCTTCTTTTTGATGAAGTTTGTGTTCTGATTTCTCTGTCTTTTTCCAGGAGAAAGTTACAAACCCTCTATTCGAGAGGAGGCCTAAGCAATTCGGTATTGGTGGAGCTTTGCCTCCTAAGAAGGATCTCTCTCGCTACATCAAATGGCCCAAATCCATCCGTCTTCAAAGGCAAAAGAGGATCCTTAAGCAGAGGTTGAAGGTTCCTCCAGCTCTTAACCAATTCACCAAGACTCTTGACAAGAATCTTGGTATGTCTATTTCTTTTTCATTTTACTTTGTTTCTGTTTTTTTGTTCTCTCTCTTAATTCAGTGCCTCACCATATTCTGTATTGATATATGCAGCTACCAGCCTCTTCAAGGTCCTTCTCAAGTACAGGCCAGAAGACAAAGCTGCCAAGAAAGAGCGTCTTGTCAAAAAGGCCCAAGCTGAAGCTGAGGGAAAGCCTTCCGAGTCTAAGAAGCCCATTGTTGTCAAATACGGCCTCAACCATGTGACCTACCTCATTGAGCAGAACAAGGCTCAACTTGTTGTCATCGCTCATGATGTTGACCCAATTGAGTTGGTTGTCTGGTTGCCTGCTCTGTGCAGGAAGATGGAAGTCCCCTACTGCATTGTCAAGGGCAAATCTCGTCTTGGCGCGGTATGTGTTATGTCCATCTTTGGGAGATGTCTCTCTAGTTGGCACTAGCATGGAGAGTTTATCTTTATTTCTGTCTCTTACTTTCAGGTTGTTCACCAAAAGACTGCTGCTTGCTTGTGTTTGACCACTGTCAAGAACGAGGACAAGCTAGAGTTCAGCAAAATCCTAGAGGCTATCAAGGTAAAAGCTTCTTTCTTGTCTTCAATAGATTGTTGTGAAACATATTTTTTGGAGATTGTTATGAATGTGTCTCTGGTTTTGGTGTATAGGCTAACTTCAATGACAAGTACGAGGAGTACAGGAAGAAATGGGGAGGAGGCATAATGGGATCAAAGTCTCAGGCTAAGACCAAGGCCAAGGAAAGAGTTCTTGCAAAGGAGGCTGCCCAAAGGCTGAATTAAGAGAGGCTAGCTTCTTTTGTTTGTGGTTTGCTCGGATTCTTGGAACTTAATAGAGCTTTTTGTTTATCTGTTTCTTGAAGTACTCTTTTTAGTTGAACCCTTGTTTTTGGATGTTTGCACTTTCTTCGGACAGTTTCAATGTTGTTCAAGCTGCTGGATCCTTTTTGGTCTCTCAACCACTTAAAACTTTACATTATGAAATTATTGCCAAAAGCAAATTGCATTCTGAGGAGAGTTATAAGTCTAATTCTCATCTTCTTTAACAGCTTAAATGATAATTTTGCCAGCCTAATGAGTAATTTTTGGTCTTTTGGGTTGGATGTTTGAAATAAATAAAAAAAACAGATTTCTCTGTTGTTAGTCAAACAGATATAACAACTGGAGTTATATAGGTAGATTAGTCGAAATTAGTAGCCGAAGACCAGAAAGTTAAAAATCAATAAGTTGGTTCGACAAATAAGTGGGCTGATTAAGAGAAAAATAAATAAGTGGGCTGATAGAAAATAACAGATTGGGCCTTGGTTTTAATTTTGAATTTATTATATTTGACCCAGTTCAGCAACTATTCGGAATTTGACCTTTTTAACTAATTTTGTGTGTGTGATTTGGATTTTGCGATTTGCGATAGATATAGATATAGAGAGATTCATCTGAGGTTTTGTTTGATATTGGAGGGAATCGGCAACGGGCATGGAAGCCACTGATCCAAGCGCAGAGCTCGAGCTCTACACCATTCCTGCTCAATCCAGTAATGTCTTCTCTTTCTCTCGCCATGCTTTTAGATTTCTAGGGTTTCTTCTTCTTCTTCTTCTTCTTCTTCTTCTACTCTTTACTCTCTCAACTGTTTCCGTATCCACCCAACAATTTATCTCCTAGGTGTCTGCCCTGCTTTCTAGGGTTTGTTTTCTTTGGAATTGATTTGGGGATTTGTCATAGGTTGGTTCTTATGGGATGATATCCACGAAATTGAAAGACGCGAATTTGAGGAGTTCTTCACTGAGAGCTCAATCACTAGAACCCCCAAAGTTTACAAGGAGTACCGAGATTTCATTATCAACAAGTTTAGAGAGGACACTTCTCGGAGGCTCACCTTCACCAGTGTCCGCAAGTTTCTCGTTGGCGATGTCAATTTGCTTCAGAAAGTGTTCCTCTTCCTCCAAAAATGGGGATTGATCAATTTTAGCTCTTCCCTCAAGAAAAGTGATCATCTCTCGTCCGTGGATAATGCTAGAATCGAACAAGGGACTCCCGCTGGAATTCGAGTTACTGCAACCCCTAATTCTCTGAGGCCTATTACCGCACCGCCCCTTGTTGAGGAAACATCTGAGACTGGCATCAAACTACCACCGCTTACCTCTTATTCAGATGTTTTCAGCGATTTGAAGAAGCCGGATGATGTATTGGTTTGTGGACATTGTAGAGAACGTTGTGATTCTCCTTTCTATCGACATAACAAGGTAGTTTTTGCTTGTTTTTTATTAGCATGTTTCATACTCTCTTGTCTGTTTTGTTTATGCTTTTTTCTTTTTCGTTCTGGCATATGATGTTGGCAGAGTATTGTCAACATATGCGAAAACTGTTTCAAGAATGGAAACTATGGGGAGAACAATGCTGCAGATGATTTTAAGTTGATTGGGAATTCAGCTGCAGCTGTGTGGACCGAGGAAGAGACCCTCCTCTTGCTAGAATCTGTGCTGAAACATGGAGATGATTGGGAACTCATAGCACAAAGTGTTTCTACAAAGAGTAGACTCGATTGCATTTCGAAACTCATTGAGCTCCCGTTTGGAGAGTTTTTGATGGGTTCTGCTTCTGGAAGACTCATTTCCTCTATCCCCACCGAGGATGAAAACGCGGAACAGGTGAAAACTGATGATCCAGAACATGAGGAAACCGAGACAAGGGAAGAAAAAGAAGATCACGTGGATGAAGATGAGCCACCAGCAAAAAGGAAACGTGTTGCACTGATATCAGACGGTGATAGTTCACTTATGAAACAGGTGAATGTTGGGTTGAACTATATGCCTTGTGTTCATTATCTTCCATATGAGTGTAACACTCGGGTTCTTCTCTGACCTTTAACTGTAGCAAAGAGTGCCCTTTCAACTCTACGGGAAATTTTTTTTCAAGAGATAACATCTTTACGTATTGCACAACAGGTCGCTGCCATGGCAAGTAAAGTTGGTCCATCTGTCGCAACTGCTGCTGCAAAAGCTGCACTTGCAGCTCTTTGTGATGAAGCCTCATGTCCAAAAGAGATTTTTGACACTGGTGACTACAGCAATTTCACAGTTGACAGGTTCAATTCTCTAAGCCCTCAATTTGCTTGTGGTTTGGCTTCTCATGTCCTTGTATACGCTAATCTCAAAACTTTACTCACAGAGCTGATGGAGACAAAGATACAGATTTGGAGGAACAGCAAGAAGACAAAGGTAACTTGTGTTGTGATCCAGTTCGCATCCCTAGGTTTATAATGAAAGCTCAAGACTTAAGATTTATGATCCTTGTATATTTACAGACGGGCCTCAGGGTCTACCTGTAGCATTAAGGATAAGAGCGTCAGTGGCAACAGCTCTAGGAGCAGCGGCTGCACAAGCGAAAATACTGGCTGATCAAGAAGAAAGAGAAATGGAAGAGTTAGCTGCGACTGTAATAGACCAACAGGTTGGTTCTAACTTGTGACATTAAAACATTTGTGTCTGTTCCACTTGTGTTTGTGTCTTGAACCGGACATGTTTTGCGTCTCTTTATACTCAGCTGAAGAAACTGCAGAGCAAATTGAAGTTTCTGGAGCACTTGGAATCGATAATGGATGCAGAAGAGGAAGTGATAGAGGGTGTAAAGGAAACAATCATCCAAGAGAGGATTAGCGTTTTGCAATGTGCGTTTCGTAGCGGGATTACCAAACGTTGGGATCATACGTACGTGAAATGATCTCCTTTTTTCGCTTGGGGTAGATTTGTTTTCTCCTTATTCGTGAAATGAAAAGATCGATTTGTTTTGTTGACTTTTGTGGATCATTTTAAGTTATCACTTGCTAGTATTAAATGTGCCAATACTAGTATATCTAGAGAAGAAGCTTTTTATTGACTAAACGAAGAGAGTAGGTTTAGGTTACATACATCTTTTGTCGATATGTCTGACCAATGAAAATGGATGGGTCTCTCTCATTCATACGCGCCCAGTGTGATGACAATTAATGAAATTCTGAAAACATTTTCTGAGCTTTCAATTTGTTTTCCATAGTTCGTAAAAAAAATAAACAAAAGAAAAAACAGTGACACTCTTGTTTCTATAAATTGGTGAGACCTGCCCTCAAAACCCCTTCGTCACCTTCATTCTCTCTCTCTCTCTCTCAAGATCTTGCTCCGGTCATGAAGTCATCGGAATTCCAATACCACGAGGTTCTCTCTCTATCCTTGCTTAGAGATTCAGATATAGTAGTAGTAGTAGTAGAAGTTTAACAGGAAATAGCGTGGTGAGATGATAGATTGATAATTGAATAACCAATAATGTGGAGACAGGAATACATAAGAAATTCTCGAGGGGTAGAGTTGTTCGCATGTAGATGGATCCCATCTTCTTCGTCTTCTCCCAAAGCTCTGGTTTTCCTCTGCCATGGTTGTCATTATTTTCTTAATTGTTATTTCTAAAAGCTGCTATTCTTCATTTACATAATAAAAGTTGGTGGTGGATTTTTTGTGCAGGTTATGGAATGGAGTGTAGCGACTCCATGAAAGGTTTTTCATTTTTCTTCTTCCCTCCAACTCCAATTTATGATTTTCACATGCTTCCCTTAATAATATGCATTAGATCTAACGAATCTCCAAAAAATACTGATAGTTTTTTCTCTTGCCTTTACTTGGCGGTGCGATTTTAGATACAATTAGCATGTTTTTTTTGGCGTGTATTAGTTCTCTGAATCAGGAGGTTACGCATGATACTTTGTACTAGAAAATGTTGCAAATCTTCAATTTGGAACTGATAAAAAAAAAAAAAAAAAGGTCATTTGTTTCACTGCATATATCCAAAATTTTATCTATATATTTTACATTTGATGCATTATCCTAGTAAGGATCTGTGTAGTGATAGTAGCAGATCATGGATCTTAAATTCACTGTGGACCTTAGAACATTTATGTGCGAAGTAATACTTCTTAAATGCCTCTAGAAAGCAAGTCATGGAGGGTGTTAGGACCGGTAGGTCAACAATTCTTACTTTATGTGGTTGGTTTTGGTTGGAGAACGACCCTAAATCATTTTTTAATTGTATATCCCTTTATTTTTTGGTCTTTCCTCGTTTAGAGTGTGTATTTGATCCCTTTCAAATTAAATTACCTTCTTTCTATGGCCTTGGTGGTTGAGAAAATTTATTCGGACGTTGATCCATGTTTGAAACTAAACAAACTGATACATGTTTTGATTGTAGAATGCGGAATCAGGCTGGCTTCAGCCGGATACGCGGTTTTTGGTATGGACTATGAAGGTCATGGAAGGTCCATGGGATCTCGTTGCTACATCAAGAAGTTTTCTAATGTTGTGAACGATTGTTATGACTACTACACATCTATTTGTGGTATAACATTTACATATATAACAACAACATTCATATCTCTTCTTCTCCATTTATCAGTAAGAAGAGATTTTCTCAATCAACCCCAAGTTAGTTGTTAATTTTATTTGACACCAGCGCAAGAGGAGTACATGGACAAAGGCAGATTCTTGTATGGAGAATCCATGGGAGGTGCTGTCACTTTATTGCTTCACAAAAAAGATCCTTTGTTTTGGAACGGCGCCGTTCTAGTTGCTCCTATGTGTAAGGTAATAACCAGCAATTTTTAGATTACAGAGTCTTAGGAAATTATACTGGAATGCAAATATGTTGTTATGTATGAATATGCAGATATCTGAGAAGGTGAAGCCACACCCCGTAGTGATTAATCTGTTAACTAGAGTCGAAGAAATCATACCGAAATGGAAAATAGTTCCAACAAAAGATGTGATTGACGCTGCTTTCAAGGACCTCGTCAAGCGAGAAGAGGTATCTGTAGTGTATATGGAGTATATAACAAGCTCTCACCATCTAAATTTGTGATATGTAAATAGTTTGGTGTGTGTAAATGCAGGTAAGGAACAACAAGCTGATATATCAAGACAAGCCTAGGCTCAAAACAGCACTTGAGATGCTCAGGACAAGCATGAACCTCGAAGACACTCTGCACGAGGTTCATGTCTCTTATACATTATTCTTGATCCCATGATATGACATTTTTCTGACAGAATTATTTGACCAAGACAGCAACATGCGATCGGATTTTGCAGATAACAATGCCCTTCTTTGTATTACACGGAGAAGCAGATACAGTGACGGATCCAGAGATAAGCAAAGCTCTGTATGAGAAAGCTAGCACAAGGGACAAGACTCTCAAGTTGTATCCTGGGATGTGGCACGCTCTGACGTCAGGTGAGCCGGACTGTAACGTTGACCTTGTTTTTGCTGACATCATCACTTGGCTCGACCTTCGAACCGCTGACCCAGCCTCTCTCACTGTCACTCCTATACGAGTTGGTAACACTACGACCGTCCAGAGGGTTACTACTGTTAGTAACGGTCAAAGGAGGTCTAAACGTCCCTTCTTCAATCTCCTTTGTTGTTTGAACCGTGGTCGTTTGGTTCCACGATCCACTGTGTAATAAAAATTTAACAAGGCAACAAAAACAAGTTATGGAAAAGAGAGTTATGATCGTTTGGGTTATTAAAGATTGGTCTCTCATGATGGTTAGAAATATATGGCCCAAAGAAGTATGAAACCATTTCCTTTTCAGCTTTTGAAAAATCGTGAAATGAATTGATAAGTTGGGTCATGAAATTAATTGAGTTATGGTTCTGGTTCCATTGTATCTATATACTAGATCCGGACCCGCACATACGTGCGGGATTTTGTTTGTATTTGAATTTTTTGATGTATATAGCATTTAAGGCTGGATACCTGTTACATATATTCAATCCATTTTCCAACTCATACTCGTCTCGAAAAAAGGGTAATCGTGATCTTAGGGTCGGGTAAAAGATATTGTAATTCTATTACCCTTGGCCCGTGGGTAAGAATCGAGTATCGGGTATTTATTTTTAATACTTATTCCGTTATTTGATATGTTTATCGCTTTACTACATGACCGGTAAATGTTTTATTAGTGTTTTATAATATTACTAAAAAATTTATAAATATATTTTATTGTAAAAAATATAGCCTAAGTCTGTAATTTTATACTTTTGGAAATATACTATAGTTTTATGAGTTTTTTTTCTTTTTATAATTTTAATGTATATTTATGTTGGGCCTGTTTTTCGTATTGGCCCAAAAGCATTTTTTTTGTTAAATGACTAACGTCACGTTTCTTCTCCCTGTAGCTCCTCTTCTTCTCATCGAACACTTTTTTTTTCTTCTTCTTGCTTAATCAATGGTATTCTCCATCTTCTTCTTCACATTCTCTTCACCTTCACTTTTTGGGCTTTTCGTTTGAGAGATAAAGACTTTCTAGACGTTTTTTCTTCTCTTATGCAGTACTAAGCAGAAGATCAATTTACAACATACACCAAAAAAAAAAAAATTGGTACTGCAATTCGTTCTCTTTCACAAAACACACAAATCTTATTTTTTTTTTTTAATTCTTTCATTCTTAGGGTTCTTTCGATTAATAGAGTAAATCATTTGCTTACTCACCTATCGCGAGGAAGACAATGCGGTTTCAGAACTGCGAGTTAGAGTGGAAGATGATGTAGTTCAGAAATTAGGCCATTATATTAAACTCAGTGTGGAGTGTGGACTTCGAAGTATTTCTCAAGAAGCAGATCATGAAGAGGAAGAAGATTCATTATCACCGTCTTCTTCTTCTTCTTGTGGACGGGATAGATCTGTGTGGTTATGTTCAAGCTTGGTCTTTTCTTCGCGATTCTAACTGCTTTGGGTCTCGCTGGTTACAAATGGCTCGCTCCTTCAATCATGGATAAGGTTTAAAATTTCCTCCTTCAAAGATAATTCAATGCATGTTCCATTACAATGATACCTTGTTCCTAAAATCCAGTGTTGAATTTGTTCTGTTCTTTAGAAATTTTAGATCTTTATCAATTGGGTTTAATTAGGATTTCATCAATTAATCATCACTCTTGAATAAGATCTTAAGTACTGACCACAAGTCTGTATGAATTCGTCTAGTGTAGAAAAAAGTTCATTTGTAAGATTGGTTCATGTTTCATGTGAATTTGTATATGCCATTACCTTCAGATTCGATTAGCCGAAATAAAGTTTGCAGTTACTGTCCTGTGGCTAATTTTTGATACCTATATAACCAGACCCTCTTAACATATCCAATCCATAACATTTTTGGCTCTGTAACAATTATGTTATTATCCATTTACCTTTGTTTGCAGGAGCTAAACCATCTCGTAAAATGGGATATCAGACACACCCATTAAATATATGCAAGCTCATGCCATTTTTGTCAAAATATGATGCTTTATTTTCCCTTGTCATACTCTTTTTGATATTCATGATGGATGATTCACGTTCATGGTGTTAAAATTTTCTTTCCATTTAGGAAATTTGATTTGACTCACCATTGTTTTCTTGTGATAGGGAAGAATGCTGCTTGATATTAATTTCCGTGAAGGAAGTCTAGAAACAAAGGTTAGTAAGTTTCTTTTACCACATATAGATGATACCTTAACCTTATTTTACTTCATAGAATCAAATATTGTCAATTTTCTTATATAGAATTTAAGTTCATTACTATAACTCAGGGGTATAAGTGAAACAAACCAAGGAAACTTCACATAACTTGAGTATCATGAATGACTTTCTAATATAACTACGACAATGTAGTTGTTTCAATATCCTCAATTAAACACAATAAATATGTATCATGTCAGGAAAATAGTAAAGACAAAACAAAAGCATAAGATTTTTAAGAAAGTTCAAACGAAAATGGATGCAAAGTTCCAACAACTTTTGATACACACCATCACACGCTTCTCTTAACATTCAGGTTTCCATCTAACCTGGAATAAGAAGAACCATATGTTCATACAAAAAAAAAAAAAAAAAAAAACCATATACCAGAATTACATTGTGAATAATAAACAAAACAAAAAAAGTAGAGAAGTTGTTTTTCTGGTTTACATTTTATCTTTGACACTTTGTAGTCACTCAATATTTTTTCTCTTTTGTGTGTATGTTTCGATTTTGGAATAAAAGAGATTTAAGAGGTTTCGGTGAATTGGAAATGATATAGATCACTACAATATTTATACTAAAAAGAAGTCGGCGAATTCATAAATAATTTTATAGGTTTTAAAACAATAAATCTTATACAATCTTGCTAGTTACGTAAAATTTAGTTTCAGTATTGGAATATGCTCTTGAGATTCCGTGTATAATATTAAGAGAATGTCTATATTAATAAATGTAGATACAAACGTTTGTTTGGGAAATATAGATTTTCTTTGTTGATGATTTGATAATCCTTGATATCAGGTTGTAGATTATACTACTATTAAATAGATAGGAACAAATAAGGAAATAAGTTAGTAAGACTTTGAAAAAATGAGTTTAGAATTAGAGCTATTTATTATTGATTTTAAATACAATTAGTGATATAAATATATTAGCAAATTTATAAAAAATGATTGAAATTAACATTTTCAAGTATACAAACCTTGAATTACGTGGTTAACATTATTGCTAGGATTTGAAATTTTAGTAATTGGTATAATTTTTTAGGAAATATTCAATTTGTTTTTTATGCTTAAGATTTTGTTTACTGTTTTGATTTAGTAGTTTTAGTAAGTTCTTAATATATGAGATTTGATTTGAAATTCGAATTAATCTTTTACTTGTCAAGTAGTTATGGCAAGTACAAATAATTAGGGTGAAATATTTGATTATCATTTCCTTATTATCTATGTTTTAATTGATTAATTATTTATTTATTTTATAGAGTAATTGATACTAACATTTTTGGTTTAAGCATTAATTTTTGTACTAATTTTAGGAAATGTCGAATAACAACATTCCTAAATTCCCAACCGAAAAAATCGACCCCAGGATCCACATGATCCACGTGTGTATCCACCCCCATTAGCCCAAAATCCAACCCAGAAGGTCCAAGATCCGCGAGTTTGTACACTGTCAAAATACCAACTTTACCCTTTAAAGAATTTTATTGTTTACTCTTTAAATTCAAAATTTCTAATGGCATCAATTGTAATACTTTACCCTTAATGAGGTTATTTATTCTACAATGATTCCCAATTAATAGTATAGATATATTTTTGGAACACTTTTAGCAAATAAATCCTGGGGTTGGGCAGTATTTACAAAGAATGCCATTGGCTTTAATTCTAACAATTTGAAAAATTTAATAAAAGTTATTAACAATTTAGATCCTAAATTATCTCTTACAACTTATCTTTCCATACCTATATATTCACTCATATCCTAATTGCTATTTAAAAAAAAAAAAATTAATGCTAACGTTCCTAAAAAAAAAGATGCTAATCTTTAAATTCTGTTTATTTATGCTAACGTTTATTTATTTATTTTAATTTTGTTTTTTAGATTCTGTTTTTTTTTTAAGGAGTTTATGTATAGAAATAATTAAACAAACGATGAAATCTGATTTAATATGACTTGGAACTTTGGCTTCTCATTTAAGGGTCTGACTGGTTTAAACGCAGCGGTTGCGGTTGCGGTTGCGGGAGTTTGTGGAAGCGGGCGGTTGCGGCTTTAAGCGTTATCAAGCGTTTTGAACGACTGGTTTAGCGTTTGAAAATTAGTGCGTTTGCGGGAGTTTTATGACTGGTAAACCAGCGGGTGCGATAGCAGTTAAATAAAAAATGACCAAAATAAATAAAAAATATTTCAAAAAAAAAAGAAATAAAAACACCAATATATTATGATGATAATATTAGAAAAATTGAACATGCTTAATAATTAAAACCATAAATAAAGTACTAAATAATTATTCAAAAATAAAGAAATTTTGTAACAAGATAGTACTTTATGCATCTGGTTTAACATCAAAAATTGCATCAAGTAATGGGAAAAACTGTAAATAACGTTGAATTCAATCAAAAAGCAAGTGAGTTTCTATTCGAGAAAACAAATCGAAACATATATTCAATCAAAAAGCTAAGCAATACGTAATGAAAATAAAAAAAACGATGCCATAAAAAATATTCAAAAAGTTACACATGAGGTGATGAATGAATAAAAGAATATATGATACTTACATTTGGTTATTAATTTTCATCAGTTTGGATGGAAAACATTGAGAGAATAGAGTTTCAGAATATTATTAGGGTTTCTGATGAGAACGTAATACAAAGTGATACAAAGATGAAAGATATATATAAAATTAATATATATTATAATAATTATAAGTAAATGTTTAATTTTTTTTTTTTAATCCAACCGCTACCGCCCGCAACCGCAAACGCTTGCGGGAAGGAGCTTTTGAAATTCAGCGATTTCGAGCGGTTCGAAGCATGACGGAGCGGTTTCTATGATTGGTACCAACCGCTAACAACCGCAACCGACCGCTAGCAACCGCTAGGAGGGTGCTAGCGGGATAACCAATCAAGCCCTAAATCAATTTTTAAAGTAAAAAATAAAACAAATCTTACAGATTTAAATGTGTATATACGACTCTTTTTTTCACAAAAAAAAAACTTTTTTGTTCAAAAACTGTGTATATAAAACTTACTTGCATATATATTAGAATTAAATAAAATTTTCTACTAAATCATATTTTAGATTTTCACATAAAAGACAATCTATCTAGAGTATAAAAATCTTTGAGCACGTGAATATTCCAAATGTTGGTGCATTTAAAAGACTTTTTGTTTAATAAACAAAAATAATGATTAAAGTTTCATTTTACAATAATGAAAATTTAAAGATATTTTTAATATTAAAATAAAATCTAAAATTATACTATGTAAAACATTTATGATATCGTAGTATTGGCAATATACAAACCAATTTTTTTTTGAACCGTTTATCTATTAAAAGTACTTATTTATAAGTACATAATAAATAACTTTAATTGGTTGAAACTTTTGAAAATAGAGTATCCTTTTTTTCAATTGTAATAGCTTTTAATAATTGAGAAAGTAAATGACACCAAATATATTTAAACAAACAATATATGATCATCTTTTATTTTAAAAATATTGTATATCATTGAAATAATAAATTATGTTTTTAATATAAAATGTTATTCAGCGGTATATCGTTATGTGGGTTAATTATTATCCACATTTAGACATATAAATAATATTAAATTCTTAAAATAATTTATAATATACATAAATTAATCATCAAAACTTAAGTTTTTTTTAATTAATATTATTTTTATTATAATTATTATTATTATATTATTATTATTAGTTATCATATTATAAATATGAAGAGTGATACCGACAAAACTTAAGTTACCATAAACTTAGGTTTTTTTAATTAATAATAGTTTTTTTAACTTTAAATATATTTTATAAATAAGAAGAGTGATACCAACAAAAATAAATTAGAAAAATGGATTTAGTAAAATGGCCGCAAGTCTTGTGAAATCAAGCAGGGGGATGCAGGGGGATGCAAGCATACTATATACTTTTGCGGGTTTGTAGAATGGTTTTTTGCGGGTTAAAAATCTTTAAACCCGTTGTGGGACAGACCTAGCATAGCGGGTTTGAACTATCAAACCAACAATAAAACTATTAACTTATTGATTTATGTTTTGGATTTGTAATCATGGTGTGGAATTAATTAAGTTACAAATGATATCCATATTTATTCTACAAACTACAATATATTACACAAACTAACACCTTCTTACTTTTAAAACAACTACTTTTAATTGACAAATTTCTAAACAAAAATATTTAATTTGTATATGCATCAAACAAACAAAAATACACTAACCTACCATATATCTCTATATTATTCTACAAAACAGATTAAATCTAGAATTTTATATTTTATCCAATAACAAATTTAATATAATAAAATAAACACATTTTAAGTTATAAACTATAAGTTTAAAACATAAAAAAAACATGTGTTTCGTACCACGGGTCCAAACAAAATGATAAATTAGGTAGACAAAAAATAAATAATTGAAAATTAAAAAACCAAGTAAACTGAAAATCATTATCTAAAATTTTGTCATACGGTGTACTGCCAGTTAAAATTCCGTGATTTTGATGGGTCAGGTCAAAATCTTATTCTATAAATATGTAGCCATATAAAGCTAAATAATACTATCTTTAACTATAAGAGTTACATCTAATTAAAAATCATATACGATCAATAGGTTTTATATATATAAAAATTCACATCAATAATTTTTTTAAAAAATTATAGCCCCGCGGTGTACCGCGGGTTCAACTCTAGTAATAGTATTATAATTGAGTAATGTAACCTTTTAATTTGGTATAAATTTTAACATTAAACCCAAAAAAAAAAAAAAAAACATTGGTGTATAATTCTTCTTGTTTGGAAAACATTAAAGCCCATATAAAATGATAAGGCCCAATAACTTCAAAAGGCCTAACATAATTCTGTTGTAGCGCCGGTCCGCTAAGTAGTTTCGAGTCGTCGTTCTTCTTCTTCTTCTTCTTCTTCTTCCATCTTCCTGTGAGTGAGATCTGTGGAAAACGAAAGCGAGATTTATCAGGTAAGGTAAAACCCTAATTTCTTCGATCTGCCTTGTGTTAAAATCTGTTATTCTGCTTTCCTCAACCTCACTCGTATTCCTTAACATGGATAGGTTTGGTGATTGTTTGTGGAGAAGAAGCTCGCGATAAGTCAACATGAGGTATCTCTTTCTCTCTCGATGGTTCTAAGTTTCGTCTGCGTTTGATGGTTCTCAATTCGAGACTTTCCTAACACTGTTGTGTTTCTCTTTGATTTTAATTTTTTTTCTTCGCAGCAAGCCAATGGAAGAGGATACCAATGTAAGCTTCCCTTTTTAAATTCTCTCGTTACTGCTTTTATCGATTTGCTATTTTGCCCTAATTCATCTAGTGTTTCCAGTTTCGGCAATCTTAGCTATCGCCTTAGTGCTTGAGTTGGACTGAACCACTATGGATTTTCACTAAATTGCGTTTTAATGGGTGTTTTAGTGACTGGCTTCATATTGGTTGTTTTCGTCTCTCATTTCGATCTTGAGTTCGACTTCTGACTTTTGCTGTATTGTCATTTGATTGTTGCTGTTATAAACACGATCTTGCACTAGTTTCCTTCTTGTCTGCTACTCTCCTTAAATGTTGTTTCTAATCATCATGCTTGATACTGTTCTTAGCAGGGAAAGACTGAGGAAGAGGAATTCAACACCGGGCCACTCTCTGTTCTTATGATGAGCGTGAAGAATAACACTCAGGTATAGAGATCTCTATCTAGGAGATATATTGAGTTTCGGTTTCATTTGACAGATTGTTAGATAATGTTGTATATGAAAACTCATTAAGTGGATAGATGTTTTTGAGCTTTGTTTAGTAACACCTTCATGAGCCAGATGTTAGACAATGAAATATTGAAATGTATATGAAGAGTGGTTAACATAGAAGGTTATTAACAAGGTCTACTTTTTATTCAGGTTTTAATCAATTGCCGGAACAACAGGAAACTTCTTGGGCGAGTGAGAGCGTTTGACAGACACTGCAACATGGTTCTTGAAAATGTCAGAGAGATGTGGACTGAGGTAAACAATATTCTTCTGTAATCAGTTTGTCTATATATAACTTGTGTGCCTGAAATGGCCTTGTTTGGTTTAGGTTCCGAAAACTGGGAAAGGAAAGAAGAAAGCACTTCCGGTGAACAGAGATCGGTTCATAAGCAAGATGTTTCTACGTGGAGACTCAGTCATTATCGTCCTCAGGAATCCAAAATGAGAGAGAGTGTCATGTAAAAGACATGTTCCTTGTTTGTGCTAAAAGTGATAAATACTTGTAGGTATTAGCATCTTTTAAGTTTGACATTTATGTGTCTCGTTTTCGTTTATGCCCGAATTGATAAGATCTTTTTAAAGGTGTTTGCCAGCGTAATCTCATTTGTGTTCAGTTTACATGTTCGCATGTCCAAGCTCAATACTACGGTGATAGCATTAAAAATAAAGCTTTTAAATTGGTGAGGTTCAATTCCCAACTACATTGACACGAATAGAAATATCGAAATCAAAATTTAAAAATGAAAAAACGAAAAGAAACGAGATTCTCTCCTGCTACTAGAATTACTCTGTTGATGATGAAGTGGTGGAGGATGCCTGCTTTTGGTCGCCAAAGACACGTTGACGGAAATCTTTGACCATAAGTGGGAGCCCTTGGCGTAGAGCCACCTTTGGTTCCCAACCAAGAAGCTCTTTGGCCTTTGTGATGTCTGGTTTCCTCTTGTGTGGGTCGTCCTCTGTGTTTGGTCTGAACTCTATCTTTGCGTTCGGGTCAATCGTCTCTTGAACCACCTGCTCACCACCATCCACTCCTTTGGGGTCAGATACAAAGATTTTGAGTAATCATATTATATGTACCAACAAGAGAAAAAGGTACCTTAGCGAGCTCGAGCATGGTGAATTCACCGGGGTTACCAAGGTTAAATGGACCGACATGTTCTCCCTCCATCAACCTCATCAGACCCTCCACCTATCTCACATTCAAGTTTACCAGTACACAATAATAAACAACCATGTAAGGAAATGGAGAGACGAAAAGAAGAATGATTTTTTCAGCTGGACATGGTAGGTATATTAAAGATCCGTTGTTGGTCCCATGATATTGATTGATATCCATCCATCCCCAAAGTTATATGTCACACTTTACACAGCTAATCAATTTTAGTATGGCACCAGGTTTGTGAATCCCGGTCACAAAATCATATCATAGAGAGATTGTAAATACAAGTGATTAGACTACCTATCCAAACCCTAAATATAGATTCTGAGCCACTTATTGTATCCTAGTGAGATCAACAATATCTTTGAGTATTATCAAGATACACTGTTTTACCATGTCAAGACTGAAGTATACCCCATGAAAGTAACAGTTGAATAAAAAAAGATGAGGTCATGGCAAAATTTGAAGCAGTAGAGCTACATTGAATTGAACTTTTCCTTGTTTTTATCTAATCATGAATTTGTATAACTTTAGGAGGAAAAAGTAAAAGGGGGATTACCAGATCAGAGACAAACTGGAAACTCCTTGTCTGCTTACCATCACCATAAACAGTCAAAGGCTCTTTTCTTAATGCCTGCACAATCATCAATACCAATTTCATTACGTAAAATTCAATTAATCACTGATTGATTGATTAGTTAAGCCACTTTAATCCCGCACCTGGGCAACGAAGTTGCTAACCACACGACCGTCATCGATACACATCCTTGGGCCATAAGTATTGAAGATCCGAGCAATCCTAACCTGATGAGCAATCAATCAATCAAAATCTGTATCCACATTTTCTATCAGCGAACCAAAATGAAAAAAAGAAAACAGACCTCAACATTAGCGCCTCTATGATAGTCCATGGCCAAAGTCTCAGCGGTACGTTTGCCTTCGTCGTAACAACTCCGAACACCTGTTCCAATTTGCCATATCACACTCTATCAATAATATTCCAGCAACACAAATACGAAAATTTGAATAAAACGGGGTTAAAATTAGGAAGATAAAAAAATATCTCCTGCGGGTGCGTCTGAGAGCCGCACGATTAAAGGAAGGACCCAACAACATGTACGGTTCAAATGGAACTTTGACCAGATCTCAAAACTATTTTTCTCTGCTAACGTGCGCTTTATTGTATTGTTGTTATACCGGACCGGACCGGACCGGACAAAATGAGGAAGAAAGAGAGAGAGAGAGAGGGAGAGAAGAGGAGGAGGTACCGATGGGATTAACGTTGCCCCAGTAAGTCTCAACCTGAGGATGTTGAAGAGGATCTCCGTAGACCTCACTTGTACTCGTCAGCAAGAATCTTGCTCCCACTCTCTTCGCTAGCCCCAACATGTTCAATGTTCCCACCACATTCGTCTTGTATCCACACAGAGTTAAGGACAAGGCAAAAAAGATCCAAACAACAACAATATTGAGAAATTGAAATTCCAAGAAAAAAACAAAGGATATGATAGTCTTGACGGGATTGAATTTGTAGTGGACAGGAGAAGCAGGGCATGCCAAATGGTAGATCTGATCAACCTCAAGGAGGATCGGCTCCACTACATCGTGTCGGATCATTTCGAAATTAGGGTTACTGAAATGGTGCATCACGTTCTCTTTCCTTCCGGTGAAGAAATTGTCCACCACGATCACGTTATCTCCTCTCGCCATCAACCGGTCCACCAGGTGTGACCCGACGAATCCTGCTCCACCTGTCACAACCACCCTTAGCACTTTCCGTTTCAGGCCTAGCGGGATTTTGCCGCCTGCCGATCCGATCCGGCTCATGTACTCGATGCTCGCCTTCTTCTCATACGATCGCATTCCGTATCCGGGAAGCGGATCCACGTCGTACGGAATTGGCTGGTTGGACGGTTTGGAGAAGATTGTGAATCCTAATGTGGCCATGGCAATGCCGACGAGGACGAAGACGAGTCTCTGTTCTCGGAGCATGTAACGGATCGGACGAATCGCTACGAACCACGGCTTTATCGGCTTCGGATAATAAGATTCCGCTTCTGCTTGCTCCATCTCGTGTCGCCGGTATGTCAGCTCAGACGCCATCTTCTTCTTCTTTGATCGGAGGGAGGCTGTTTGATTTTTCCGAGTCGAACTCGCCGGAGACTGGGGAGTGAAAACCGATTTGGGTTTTCTCTGTATTTAAGTAGACCAAGATGCCCTTACTGTTTTAGCCTCATTCTTTCGCTTTTATTACAATTATGCCCCTCTATTTACTTTTTCTCTCCTCTTTGGCGTTTTTCAGATTTGAAAAGTAAACGATTCTTCAAAACCGGAACATTGATTACTATCTCCGTCCATTTGTTGACCAATTACAGTTTTTTGTTTTCTTTTTTAAAATGTTGTCTTTACAAAAATTAAATGATTACTTTCACAAATAAATTTATTTATTTTCATGTATTTATTACTCCCTTGTTATTAAATAACTTTGATGTTTATTTGGCAATTACTGACATTTTTCTTTTGCATAAATTATAGCTTTTGTATTCATTGTCATTAAGGACAAATGGATCTAAGTTTTCTAAAGTTTATGAATTGGAAACTGTCGACAATGTAATACTATGAGTAACGAATTATATAGAGAATACTTCATACTCGATAAATATTATTCTTTCAATAGTATTGTTATCGTTGTTGGTTATGCTGTGCAGGATTCGAACTTCTTATTTCTTTTATGATAAAAAAGGAATTAACAACAAAAATGTTTCATAGAGTTAATTAAGTTGAGTAATGTACCTTAAGAAAGTCAATAAGCGCCTAATTTGTCACGGAAAGCCAAATTTGATGGCAACTTTGAGTGATTTCAACGCTCATTTATTTCTTCTGTTTAATTATTTTTCCCCACTAACAGATATGATAAATTATGTACGTACTAAACGTTCATTGACAGTTTTATAAACTCACATTGATAACGTTTTTACTTTTTGTTGAGAAGAAAACGTGACATAACAACGTTTTAGTTCCCACGGCGGTTTAATTAAAATATGAATTCTGGCCTAGTTGATACAAATTTTGTACTTTCGTACAGGCATATTAATCATGTACGTACACACAAAAAAAAATCATGCACAAACATGTTTTGATGATAACTTTTTCTGTGTTAGGTAATTATATCGTGTCGGTGATAATATTTAGCTAGGTTTAAGTTGGTTATTATTATGCACAACTCAATAGTATGTGGACCAATTTACCTGGATCAATCGCACACAATAAAAAAAAATAGCTCATATATTTATAAAAAAAACAAGGCCTTGAATGGTAGTAGATTCTACAATAGTTTTTAGATTTTGTTTTTCAAAAACCCATTTTTTCTCCATTCAAGATTTTGAACAAAATAAATTATTAACATATTTATATATTGATCGTATAATGGTTATTTCACTCTATTTCGAATTGAAATCGTGCTTTAGAATTGACAACTAGTAATATTGGATCATCTTCCTTAGATCAATAACTAACTGGAGCTCTAGTCACATGTAAGATTCATAAACTTCAATTTAAAACGAAAAACGAATATAAGCTTGTTAATTAAGAGAGAAGAGGAAGAAAAAAATGATATGGTTATAATTACAATGGAATATTAGAGTTTTATAAGCAAGTAGTAGTGAATTAGTGATCAACAGCAATCATATGATCGAACATAGAGATTTGGTGTCGGTCGGTAATGGACAACAAGAGGCACAAATTTTATAATTTTAATTTTTATAATATTTAAAATTAACCCAGGTTGGCTGAATAGTGACAATTCAACACACATTTTACATACATTCATAAGAATGCTTTATCATAATTTTGATTAACTTTCTGCATATAATGAAATACAACCAATATCCTATAAACTCGATTAATACAAATTTGATTCTGGTTTTCATTATCACGTCAAATTCAGTTATGAGTTAGAGTTCATTTTAAAAATTAACTACATTTAAAATTAGTTTTGAGTTCGTTTTGGGGTTAGGTCCATATATATTTTATATTGAAAAATAAGAATATAATTTCAGTCTTACTAGCTTTAGTAGTTAGTGACAAATTTGATATCTGAAATGAAGTTACATATAAAACATATACGATATATATATACATTGTCAAAACGAAAAGAGCAACAACGAGTCATTAAAGACCACTGTATTACTTAAATGCGACTCAAGAAAAACAAACTACACTTTGAATAACACACTAAAGCATGTCTCTAGATATCACCAAGAATACTACAGTATTATTCCATCTTGAAGAATTTATCATAGGTTAAATATATACCAGAGTAATTAAAGTTGCGTGCGTGTTTGGCATTATGAGAAGACAATTTAATGTACTAAACCGAAATTAGAATGAAATTGAAAAGAAATGACGAAGATGACCACGAACGACTACGACTACGAGAGAGAAGGAGGAGGCTCGCACGCACGTCGGGGTGTGAAGGTGACTTAGTCGTGAAGCCACGTTGACACATCATAAATTGCCACGTGTATCTCTATTATTTCTCACGTTTCCTGCACTCTCTAGCTCCTTTAATTTTCCCCATTTTCGACCCAGCGTCGCTTTTTTTTTTTTATATATATTTTGAGTTATATAGTAAAAAGGAAAAACTATGAAATGTACCACATTTCTATGAAATCTTTCCAAATGTCCCACATTTGGAAACTCCTTTCCAATCATACCACATTTGGAAGGTGGAGTTACGATTTTACCCCTCCACGTTGGGCAGTTTTCGTGCCGAAGAGCTGCCACTGATTTGACAACGTTTCGCTTACCTATTAATCTCTCCTCCTCGGTCTTCGTGCGCTTTAATCATCCATCGATATTTCTATTGAGAGGAAACGATTCACTCTCGTCTCTCTCTCTCTTTCCCTTTATCTTCCTTTTCCTTCTGCTCCAAATATAGAACATGTAATTTTCGTTGTCAGACTCTCTGCATGTAACTTCAATCGATTTTGTCCCCCGGTTCTAATCAGTGATTTAGTTCGTTAAATCCGGAAAGTTTATTTATTTGTCCACATCTGAGGTGGATCAATTTTAGTCCCTGTTATATTAGGGTTCTGTCCCTTTCCATCCCTAAAGCGATTTCTTCTTCATTTTTTCCGCGTTGCAGATGAGGTCCTCCGCTGGTAATTTGAATCAAAAGTCGCCGGTTGGCAGATCCAGGCCATCGATTTCGTTTGAAGACGAGGACGACCCTTTCGTCTCCGCCAAACGCAAAAAAAAAGATATTTGAACCGAATATCCCCCTCCTCAGTGTAATCCGTATGAACTGTAGACAACGTACCTGGATTGGTTGTCCTCAATAGATGCAGGTATGTCTGCAAGAACTTATAGCTGTCTTCCTCACTACCACGAGCTCTTTTCATTGTCATCTCTTTCTCGTGCCAAGCTTTCATGTATGATATCGTTACGTTTAGCTCTTCCAATACTATCTCTGGTAGTTCACAAGCCCTCGGTCTCTTCTTCCCATGCGCATATTTTGCTTTTAGCAAATCACCTAGAATCGATTGTGTTGCTTTCATCCCGTACTTAGACCGCGATTTCACATCACAACTATGTTTCAGAGTTGCTGTTCGAATTTCCACATTCTCCGAGTTCTCGTGAAACGTTGCATATATCCTCCAGTGACATTTGGAATTATGGCATATCGCAATTACCCGTCTTTTGTCTGAAGCTTTAATTCAGAAATTGAATAGCCTTTTAATAGAGTACACACACAACGCCTTATGCAACTCGGCTTTGTTCTTGAATATCCTTCCAATATATATTGAATCACCCGCCTTCCTAAGATTCATGTTTGCTGTGTCTTGAGCAACTCCTTTTGCGTTGTCCTAGAATGGTGCGGTATCTCTAATCATCTCAAGATCGTCCCCCACTAGTTCAGTAAACATGTTTTCACCCAATGTAAGTTGCGAACTTCTTTGCCCCATTTGGAATGACATTTCTGCACTTTCCTCTCCACCACTACAACCCATGACCTCCTCCTCTAAATTTTCTTGTCGTTCTCCGTCATCAAAAGCTGAAGCATCTGGTCTTCCTTCCAGAAGCATATGATTTCGTCCAGTCGCGTCCCATGTGGTCCCTCTATAGTCAGTATCAATCGTTTCTGTCCTTAGCGCTTGTCCCTCTTTCTCTCATTCGTCTATCCTCTCCAACCCTACCACCCAAGCCCTCCTCTCTATTTCTTTGTCCTTCTCCGTCATCAAAAGGTGAAGCATCTTCTCTTCTTGGCAATGCTGTAACCGGAACTTCCACTAGCCCTAACGCAGTCTGATTTCGTCCACTGCCTGTATTCCTTCTTCCACAACTACTATCCCAAGAAGGAATTAAACTATCCGACGTTTCTGTTCCCTGCGAATTTGCCCCTATTTGCCTCATTTTTATTTGCCCCATTTGGATTGACATTTCTACACTTCCCTCTCCAACACTACTTTCTCTTCTGCCCATCTCAGCAACCTCAACTTCAACTAGCTGAAGGCCCGATTGTCCCCTCATTAAATAGTCATCTGGTCCCCCACCGCATTGTCATCCACCTGTCCCCGCAATCTTTCATCTTCAGTCGTTATTGTTTTCTCCTTTGAAGTCTTCCAAGGATCCCAATCCGGTGGGTACTCTGTTTCTATCAACTTACTCATGGCATCAAAGTCATAATCTCCAGAATCTTCTTCCTCACTTAACATATTATCTTCTGAGTCGGATTCCCATCCCCCGCAATCGCTACCCGTATCCAATTCTCCAACTAGTTCCTCTTCTCGTCGCTTCTTTGCATTTTCCTTGTCAAGCGAAGCTTTCTTCCTCTTATAAGACTCTTCAAACTCATATATCTCAGCCATAAATTCCTCTTCCTCAAAACTAACTGGGATAAACTGTGTGCTGTCACCAGCACCCACTTCTGCGTTGTCCCCGACAGCATTCGAATCTGGTCCGTTGATTGCGTGTTGTCCCCTGGTGTTTGCACACTCTTCATCGTCTTCTACTAAAGTTAGATACATGTTCATACCTCCTTTATCTACCCTTAACTTTTTGAACTTCGACAATGAACTCTCGCTATCAACAGAGACAGGAGGCATCTTTTGTTGCGTGAAGACAGTGTCTCCTCCTTCGAACCAAAAACTCAGCTCCAATTTTGTCCTTTTCCTGTCTACTCCAAACGCTGTAGCAATTTTCTGTTCAACATCAGTAATTGTGTCTCCTTCTCCTACATCTACACACTTTGCATATTTCTTTGCTGACATCTTGAATCGCCACTCACCACTTTCTTTGCATTCCCAGGATCCGACCAATATCATTACTCCTTCGTCCATTGAAACCTGTCGTCCTCCATTTAATACACCAAATTAGTATGATAGTTGGATGCATTTATCACAAACTAACAATCCTAACCGTTTTTCGAAGGACTACAATTAAATTCATAAATTTACCTTCAAAAACTTTTACTGTCCCTCCTTCTACCCTAACTTCAATTTCGTCCAGCATAAGGGTTTTCTCCCATGAATTCTAGTTTACCCAGATCTACATACAACCTTCTTTTACATGATGTATTAGTAGAGCAATTATGGCCTAACCCTACTCTATTATCATAATATTAAAAAAATTTCCGTACGCACTTGTAAACGTCCAGCATTAAATGCACCTTCTCACTCTTCTCCCGCGACGCCCCATTATGTCTCTTTTACCCTGACACACACATCTGTGCATTAAATGCACACTGCTTCCTTTTCTCCCGCGACGCTCCAAGATGTCCATTGATCTGACACACACATCTGTCTCAATCAGGGGTAATTTGGTCCGGATCTCTGCGTGTGGCATCCAAATGTGGTAGATTTGGCAAGCTTTTTTGAAATGTGGTAGTTTTGGAATGACACATTCTGAAATGTGGTAGATTCAGTCAAATTTCCTAGTAAAAATAGTATAGTAGATAAACACTACTCTAGTTAAGTACAAAGTACGTCTTAACTATTAACAACGCTTTAAAATCATTGCAATTAAGTTATAGTAAGAAATTTCCCAACAAACAAATAGTCTACATATATAGTACTACTCATATTTTCAATTTTATCACGACTCACGTGTTAGTGTTAAGTTTGGCTGCCATTTAATAAATAAATATATTTAATATTTACTAAATATATACACAAGCTGCCAAACTATATATATATATATATATATATATATTAAATATATATACTATTTATTTATTAAATATATACACAAGCAGCCAAACTATATAAATGAATCCTGGGAATTGGGAAATGGCTCAATAGGTATGTAACGTTTTTGAATGTATAAATCTGTCTTAAACAACAGAACTATCTCACGGTATATATTTTATATATGACTTAAAATGAATATACGATTGATCATTTGATATTGCTGTTGTAACGTTTTTGTGAAACGAAAAGAAACATTAGTTTGTGCGGGGGCCTTTGGAGTAGTCACGAGGAGAAATCCAGATCCACATTTTGGGTTAAACGTAGGCCCATAAGTGACCAATGACCATTTCGCTTCCCTTTTGTTATTTATTCGCCTTAATAAAAAAAAAAATTCATATTGAATATATGCCTCAATAATTGAAAATTTCATAATAATTTGTTTTATTCCAAAATTTAATGGACACTTCCACAATAAATTTTGTAAATTACATTTATTAAATATTTTAATAAATTGAAAACCAGATGTAATGACTATATACACTTGTGGAATAAATAACGAATCATTAAATGAATGTTTCTGAAATGTAGTTGAAACAACTTTTATAATGTTTGTCACCAAACTTACGGAATGACAAAATGGTTCGATACAAATCACGATACGTACGATTGATAAAAAAAAATTGTGAAGTTAAATATACGGAAAAAAGAGAGGAGATATTTGCAAGATAGAGATAATTAATAAACCGAGGCCATATGACTGACTTTTAATAACTATGAAATGATGAATTCATGATAATTTGTGTGAGTTAAGAATAACCAGGACAACAATCATATTGTTTATAATTAATACTATAATCTATAACAATAATAGTTCAGAGTAAAATAAAGTGTTTTTTCTTTTTTTATAATGTATGATTTGTATGGTAATAAATATCATAGCGTAGATTACAAGCCGTCAAAAGCAAGCTTGTTGAGGAGAGCCAGAGCATTGCTGCATAATCGCATACACTTGGTAGCCTTCCTCCGAACCATCCTGACCGTCCGTGATCTACTCGACGTCTCTTCAAATCCATCTAGACACGTGTCCTCATCTGTGAGTGCTGCGCTTAGCCACGTGGCGAGATCGCTTATCTGCCGCTGGAACTCATCCGCGTTCAGTGTCCGTAGAACGGCGAGTGACTTGTACAGATTGTCGAGGGAGTCCACGAACAGCTCTCGGCAATCCGACAAGGCGATTCGCTCGCGTTCCCCAACCGCTGAACGCTGCGTTTTGAGCAAGAGTCTCAGCATCCGTTTGGTGTCGGTTATGGTCACCGCGACGCTAGCTCGAGCCCACTTGCTGGTGTTGTTTCGAGCGACGATTGCAAACGGCCATAGCGTTCTGACACAGAGGCGTTGGTATCGCGTTACGTTGCACGCGTTTCTAACGTATGTGCTGTACTGCGTTACGATGTCGTTTGTGTTGTCGTTGCTACTGGTAGAGGCTAACGACGGATTTTGGTTTAGTGCCACAAGAAGAGAGAGAAGCAGAATAGAAAACGTGATAGAAGAAGAAGAAGACATGTTCTTTAGTATTGGATCTAAACTTTAAAGAAATTGGGACGATATTTTTAGATGGAGAGATAGAGACTATATTATATACACAAGACGAAGGAGCCTAAGGGATTAAGGTTTAACCTTTTTAATTAGGGACGTGAAATTGAAGTTTATGAGAGTATTTGGGCAGTTCATTTGTTTGTAGGTAATGTAGTAATCATTGCAAACGGTTAAACATTATATCCATGATTTTCAAGTCTTCTAGCCATTTTGGGTTTTGCTTTATGGTGTTGTTTTGAATTCGGTTTTTCTTTCTTTTACTATTTTAAGTAAAACTACTACCACATCCTAAAACTAGATATATGTGTTAATTTTTTTAAAAAAATTTGCATTGGTTTTGGCTTGTCACAAAAATAATATAAATAAAATGGTCACCAAAAATCATATATGAATTTAAATGAAAATAACAAAATGGAAGGGGTATATCTTTTGTTATTAAACTCCTAAAATAATAAAATGAACTACAAGAAATCGTATATTTTTAAAACTATGAATCTGTGATGATTAAAAATACGCAGAATCATCGGATTGCCAATAAAAACAGTAAAGAAAAGGTGATAATCAAGAGAGAGGAAGCAAGAGAAAGGTGAGAAGCAATAATGAAAGTTAAAAGGGTAATCACTTGGAGTTGGTAATTCTTTAAGCTTAATTTTTGATCCTCTCTAATCATTTAATGTTATGAATTTGATTATTGTTTTTCTTTAAGCAAGAGGGAAATCTTAGAATTTTTTAGAACATATCTGAACGTGGATTTCATTTTACAAAAATAGCTATGTATACCTGGGGGTCTGAATCACTTCATTCAATACCAAGAAAAAGGACCGGTTAACATATCGTTATCCAAACCGGTTGATTCACATTTATTAGGATGTGTGCTCGCATTGAAAATGAGTGAGGCAGTGATGTTAACCCAAATTCACGACCTAACCACATTTTTTTACGTGCGTGAACTTCTGGTATAATATCGTCAAGGTTAGTTATGAGTCTGGTTCGAATAATAAAAGATAACATCAGATAGAATACAAGAGATTGTCACATGAATTGAAAGGTCTAAACATGGTTATGGCCATTCACATGATCGTGATGACTTAGGGACAGAGACAAAACTCAAAAATATCAAAAGGTAGAGTTTTTTTTTTTTTTTGTCTTCTTTTCCACCAAGAGATCATTTGTTGTGCAGAGATTTGTGAAGAAGAGAGGTGTAGTCACCAAACTGGATGTCAGAAGGCGAATGGAGATTAAAGACATAGGAGATTGGTCTGGAGACTTGCATAGGCTTCTGGATTGTTAATGTGTCTTGAAATTCACCAAAGCTTACTGAATTGTGTGGGAAAGACTCTCCAAGGAAGAAGAAGCTGTCTCTGGCTAGCTTCTCAACCTTGTAAAAAAAAACATACACAAATAAATGAATGGAGTGGACAAAACAATGAAGGTACTGATGCAACAAGACTTTTTTTTTTTACCTGTAAGAGTGAGAATCTGACGTTGTTCATTGTGAGAATTACTCGGATTTCGTAAAGATTATCACCGAGTAATCTGATTGCCATGTACTCGAAGAAATTCTGCAGAATAGTTTTCTGTCCCTCAGGAGTATCAGCATAGCTGTCTGGGTTAAGGAACCACAACACACATTTCACTTCGCTCCAAGGGATTGGGTTCTCCCCTCCTGCTTTTGAGATGATTGTCTGGTAGGGATGATTGAGACCCCAGAAGATTCTTGTGTTTGCAAGTGATGAATCACAGAGAAGCGTATCTGAAGATGATGATGTGGCGAGTATTCTCCAGGACGGATAACAATTGGCTATACTTGAGGTGAAACGCATGGCAGAGTCATCAAACACAAGGATACATCCCTCTGAAGAAGTAGGAAACAAATCCAGAAGGGGAGATGTGGAAGAGCCATCTTCTTCTGCAAGGCATTGGGGAGGTAGACGATATGATGTTGCCCGTCTTCGCATGACGTGGGAAAACAAACACGATTCTCCATTTCGGCATCCCTGCAAAACCGACGTATTAGCACAGACACTGAAGATGGCCCAACTAGGATGGTAACTTAATGCACCTGCAATGACGCGAAAAATTTGCAGGCTGGTCCTGTTGACTGAAGAGTATGAGAGAACGTGCACTGGTCACCACGGTTACAAAATCCATTAAGAAAATATACACAGACCGGGGCCTCTCCATCCTCAACGTAATCCTCAGGTTCGATTGCTCCGTGGCCATTATCAGATTCAGATGGTGTGCATTGAGTTCTTATCTATGGCAAATGGAAACAGTAAAAGATCAATACGCTGTAAAGAAGAAACATCGTTTCCAGCTATAGCATCCGCCACACTCTTATCATTGAAAAACTTGGCACAATGAGAAGATTGATAATGCCTGTAAACGCAAGTTCTAAATACACGAAACAAGATCGGCAAATGAATACCTCTTTGATAATACTGGCCATGTTTTCTGCAACAGCATAAGCTTGGAATGCGTTAGGAGGAACAAACGGCATTGATACACATTTTCTTACTTCAGGAGGTGGTTGATTATTATCTTCGTCCTCAGAGTGTAGATATTTATCCTCAGAGAGTTGGCACTCAATATAGCATGTGTGATCAAATTCATATGGATTGTAATAGGTTGGTAGAGAATCAGAAGAACTGATGAATTGAGGTCTGAAACGATGAAATGAGCTAAGTGTATCTTCATCTGTAAAACAGGCGAAAGTTCCAATTAAAAGGCAGAAGAAAATAGAGAAATTAAAAAAAGGGCTATTAGCATGTTAATGTGTCTCTAAAATTGTTTTCCATGAGTAAAATGGAAAGGCTATGAAAAAAGAGTCGATGAAGTGCCATGAACTTACACATCTCAGACACATGATAGAACGATGACTGAAGAATATTGTGGAAATCACACCACTCTTTTTCAATCTCAGGAAACATCAACTTGAGATCTTTGTCTTTCTCTTTTGCCAGAAGTTGTTTCAAGTTTTCAAGACGATGCTTATCCTTCAAGGTGAGAAACATTGGTAAGATCATCAAGAATAGAAGCTAGTATTTCTTGGGAATATGGCGAAACTATATTATTACCTTAAAGACACGCTGCCAAAACTGAAAAGCACAAAAGTTTGCCATGAGTACCATCTCCCTCCGCCCACTACAAATGGTCTTGCTGCCACCAAAATAGTGGTCAAGATACTCTAGAAACTGTAAAAGAAGACATAGGTGAAGTGGATGATTAACATCATGATCAAAAAGACGTGCAGAACTGTAGATAAATCTACCAATAGGACATACCAGTGAATCATCTCCAAAAGGATGATGGATAGGAAGCGGTTGGGTATCCATCAGGACACCTAATAGAATCCCTTCTCTTAGCATTCCCATTTCACCAAACTTGACGACCAGAATACATGCATCAAAGGACAATGGGAAGCTAGCAAGTAACCGTCCATAAAATGTGGGCTCATAACGTCCCCTGGGCGATTTCCGCAATGCTCGTATGCTTAATAGCATCTTTAATGCATCATCAATGACATTTGGGTCTGGTGGATCCATAGCTTTTGCCAGCAACACTATGTTATAGAATATAATAACACTCAGTTCAACTGACGGAATCTGATTAGATAGTGGCAAAAACATTTTGGATACTATCTTGTAGATTGGATCTATTGTATTTCTAAAGCATATATGCATCCACATTTTAAGAATAATGGATGGATACTCCCACCATAAGATACTCCCACCATAAGCATTTAGCTTCATCTAAGGTACCTCATTGTTAACTATATCTACAGAGCAATCTTCATGTCAAACAGGAACATGTAATTAGAACTTACGTGATAAGTACTTATGCAGTAGCAGAAGACCTAGTAAACCCGACTGTCCTTATTAGTTCATAGGTAACCCAAGTTTGACATTGTCTATTATAAAAGAAGTTAAGCATTCTCTACACAATTCTAACATTATTACCATTTGCGTCATTAATGGCTCTGGATTCCGTGCAGCAAATATGGAGAACTTGTTGTCTCAATGACAGCTTAAGTATAGCTGGGGGCTCATGTTCTTCAAGCTTGTTAAAAAATGCACTCGGCACCAGGCGATACACCTCACCATCACATGTTCGACCTGTCCTCCCTCTACGTTGCTCAGCCTATAACTCCACATAAGAAACTAAATTTAGAACATCCACTATTGTTCCATAAATGGTAAATTCTAGCAATACCTGAGATCTAGAGACCCAATCAAGTTGAACTGCGTCTCTTTTTCTGGATGCATCCCAGAACACTTGCAGAGACCGGCATGAGTCAATGACATAGGCTACTTTGGGTATTGTTACAGAAGATTCCGCAATGTTTGTAGCCAATATTACCTGAAAACAGTAATTTGGAAAATATATATAACTATGAAATCACTGAAGTCACAAAATGGCATTGCATTAATACGAATTTGCATATCTCTCAAGGAAGAAGAAACATAGAAAGTTCAAAGAGAAACCTTACGGCGGGATCTGCATATCTTCATAGCTGCCAAGGCTTGCTCAGTGTCAATGCTTCTGTGCAATATGTGAACCTCAAAAGATGCACGAAAGGGTTCCAATTGATGCCACTGCTGCTCAAGTGAGTAGTATGTTGGAAGGAAAACCAAAATACTCTTCTCAATGTCTGGTTCCTTTTCATGAATATATAAGATGAGATCATGAATAAGATTTTGCAGTTCAGGTTTGATTTCAGCATCAGCTGAAGAAGGACTTGGACCAGGACAGTAAGCTGAGAAATCAGAACTCATACCAAGCAATCCTGCAACCTGCTTCACAAACAGTGTCATATTTAATTAGCTTGGAAAGACTTGCCGTCAGGAAAGAAGAAAATCAATTGGATAATTATATAGTTTCATAAAGAGCAAAAAATCTCAAACATAATCTCAAAAAGTTTAACCTGCTCAAGATATAATACTCTTCTCTGGAAAATTGTTCTCTGGTCAGGGCTAGGAATAGCAACTACTTCTACGCGTTCACCCCTGCCTAGTTCTTTAAAGTAGTCTCTGTACCTTGTAATATCAGCAGTTGCAGACATCAAGACCACCCTGTAAAAAATCACATCACCTCTTTAATAACCATGACCTCAATACAAACGTTTTCGGTAATAACATGTATGAAGTAATGAATCGGAATAGTATTAAACTGACTTATCTTCTATCAGCAAACAC